CACCGATTCGCGCATTACACACATAGCTAAATAACATAGAGGCCTACCTCTTGATGACAAACCGGATCGAGCTACCGAGCAATACAGAATAGGCTGCCTGGTTGTGGAAAAAGACACTGCATATGCTTCCTGTGTATTCCAATAGGACTGCATGGATAAACTTTATTTTTAATGACGTTCCACTCCAGCTGATGAGGGTAAAACCATCTGTTGGCTTCATTTCCCTGAGGATTGTTTTGTAAACAAGACTGGATTTGCAGACGATTAAGAGTAAAGAACGGTGCTGCGCCGTCTATATATGAATCTGACAGGAATTGTGCAACACACGGACTCTGGGTCGAACATGTATGGGCGAATCATTCCGGTTGGTATTTTACAACATTGGACAACAAAACAATTTTTCCCACGTACACCGACAAGGTGAGTTGAAAAACTCATTATAATATGCAAAACTGTTATCCACTCACAGCAGTGGGCGTTTACTTCCAAGTATTCAGTGCAAAAAAAACGTGCATTTTTTGAGCTGGTCTCAAAGCTAAGGTAGAAAATAGCTTATACATTTTGATGTTTTTGAATGCAAAAACCAAGCGAACGTCATAAGTTCACCTCAGAAAACAGTATAATAAAATTTAAAAAGCCAGTTCATGACCTCTTTAAGTTCTCTCTACGCAAACATTAAAACCGCGGACCTGTGAGAATGCTGATGGTGTGCACATGCTTAAGAGTTCATTCTAACAAGTACATTAGGATTTATGGGATGTGTTCCGGCGTACCTAATCTATGCAGCCTAACATTGAATTATAGAAGTCTATAGTGTGTTATGTATATGTATATGCAAGGTCAAATAGATTTGTTTCTAGTCTAGCTTTGAACTGACAGAGTGTGTCAACTTCCCGGAAAATGCTAGGAAGACTGTTCCAAAGTTTTGGTGCTAAATAGGAAAAGGATCTACCGCCAGCAGTCGATTTTGATATTCTAGGTATTATCAACTGGCCGGAATTTTGAGATCGCAAAAGACGTGAAGGACTATAGAGCTCGCTCAAGTACTGGGAGCTAAACCATTTAGTGCTTTGTAAGTAAGTAGTAATATTTTTAAATTTATACAAAGCTTAATAGGCAGCCAATGCAGTGTTGACAGAACCGGATATATTAGATATATTTTTAAGATGGAAAAATACGGTTTAAAAGATACTATTAATTTGACTTTCAAATGAAAGATTGCTATCAAAGAGCACAACCATGTTCCTAACCGATGACGAAGACTTGACAGAGGAGCCATCAAGTGTTAGACAGTATTTTAGGTTATTACATGAGGAAATTTTTTGTCCAATAATTAGAATCTGTTTTTTAAAAACAAATTAGAATCATTCAGTTTTTTATATCAGCTATACATTCCGTTAATTTTGTGAATTTTTAAGTTTCTTCGGGGAGTGAAGAAATATAGAGCTGAGTATCATCAGTATAACAGTGAAAACTAATGCCATACTTCCTAATGATATCTCCTAAGGGTAGTATGTACAGTGTGAACAGCAATGGTCCTAGTACTTAGCCTTGTGGTACACCATGAACTTGTGATCGATAAGACACCTCTTCATTTACTGCTACAAACTGATAACAGTCAGATAAGTATCATTTAAACCATGCTAATGCAATTACACTGTTGCCAACATCATTTTCGAATCTATTTAAAAGAATTTTGTGTAAATAGTATCAAATGCAGCACTAAGATCGGGTAACACCAATAGCGAGATACAATCACGACCGGATGAGCAAATCATTCGTGACTCTGATGAGAGCTGTCTCAGTACTATGGTACGGTCTAAATCCTTACTGAAAATCCTCGCAGATATCTTTTTTTTTTTTTTTTTTTTCTAAAAAGGAACATAGGTAGTTGTGAAGATACTGCCTTTTCTACTATCTTTGACAGAAAAGGTAGATTTGAGATCTAATTGACTCAATTCTGTATGATCAAGTTTTTTTTAACAATTGGTTTTATAATAGCCAGCTAAAAGTTTTTGGTGTGTATCTTAGTAACAAAGATGAATTAATGATATTGAGAAGAGAATCTATGACCTCTGGAAGTATCTCTTTCAGCGTTGGTAAAGGGTCTAACATACATGTTGTCGATTTAGATGATTTAACGAGTTTAGAAAATTCGTCCTCTTCTATGGCAATTTTTCTCCCTGATATTATCAATCTTGTAAGAGAAGAAGGTCATAAAGTCATTACTGTCATGCTGCTTGGAAACTTCTGGGCTTGTAAAGCTTATTTTGTGAAATACCTCTTGTTTAGTTTTCTTACAGTTTCTGCTCTCTTAAAGGGATAGTTCACTTTGAAATTAATTTTTTATATGTTTTAGCTTACCTCAAGGGCATCCAAGATGTAGGTGTCTTTGTTTCCACAGTATTTTCAAATTTGATATTTTTAGGTCGAACCTTTCTTGTCTGTCAGTCATATAATGGAGTTTTATGGGGTTCTCCCTGGGTTCACTTGAAAAACAGGAGAATGCACAAAGAAGTCCAAATAAAACATGATTTAATGACTCATAAATGTAAGTACACATTGATGGCCATTGAAGACACGAAATGATCGGTTTGTGTGAGAAAACGAAAGTATTTATATATACTTTTTTACCTCTTGTAACCACAGCCACGTCCAAGTGATCTGAAGGCACAGGCGCTTCTCTCGGAAGTGATCTCTCGCACATGTACGTCACTCATTGATCACATGTAGATCGCATTTAAATTGCAATGGAAGACGATTTCGATATTTAGATCTTCACAGTGAAATGTAAAACTTCCGAAATCTCTGTGTAAACACAATGAGTGATGTACACACGTGAGAGATCACTTCACAGTTTTACAGTGCAGTAATTTTCAAGTATAACCGGGTCTGTAAAGTATTTTTGAAGTATAGGAGTGGCATATTTTGAGTTTTGGTATTAGTGCTAGTTTTTAGGCTAGTTTAATTGGGCTATTTTTGATTGGCCAAAGGGCTGATTTTGTTAAACAGATCTGGCAACCCTGTTAAGACAGCAGTCCTTATTGACTTTCAGCAGTAGTGATACTATACTAAACCCTCCTGCCATCATTATTTAAATTCAAGCATTACTCTGTCAAATTGACCATATCACAGCTCAAAGTCACATTTTGTTGTGCTTGATTTAGTCTATTTGACAGTGAACGCATTTATCTCTAGTATCTCATGAAGTTTCAGGCTGAAAAGGTTCCACTAAATGAATCTCTGTTGGAGGGTAAGGGGTCAAACAGTCCTGCAACTGCTCTTAGTGAGAGATGTGCTCTTGCAGTTGTACTACTATGCAGCCATGCTGGCGGATGTGCTGTTGCGGGTCTCCTGGGCTATAAATATCCTCCTGGCTCAGATGAAGGATTCATCTGCGGCTGCCACTGCAAGTGCCCTGCTGGCACCACTGGAAGTCCTCAGGTTCGATTTCAGTCACACGCTCTAAGCAACTTGTAATCCAGGATGATCAGCGCAAATTACATTTTGCTATAATTTAATTTAACGGTGGCACCTGACTCATAGGAAAAAATATTCAGGATTAGATTGTCCTTGTATTCTTTTCTTAATTATTTCTTTCTGTTCAACCAGGCGTTGTATTTGGAATCTCTTTCGGCTTGAGAACGAGCAGCTGAAAAACTGTGAGAAATGTTGTGCTGTTCGTGATTTCTGGAACATCTGGAGGCATCTGGAAAAGGATCAGAATGTGATGTATAAAGATCATAAAAAAATTACCACACATGGCACCAAATGCTGTTTACCTTTCCCAAATCAGAGGTTATTGTCTGGGACAGCTGCTGAATCTGTTCCATCTTAGTTTTTAGTTTTTTTGTTTGTTTGTTTTTAATAATTAGATAACGCTTCCTTTTACAGTCCAGTTACCCATGTAAATACTATGTACTTATTTTAGTAACTACAACTACTGGGTAATAACTAGTACTAACCCTGAACCTACCCTTGTTCCATGTACTTACCTTATATTAGCCAGTACTTTCTAGGTAAGTACACTGTAAGTATACTGTAAGTACTGTACTGTAAAAGGAAACGTTACCAATAATTCAAAGAACATAGTCACTGATATCTGAAAATGAACAATGGTGTTCTTTTTCAGGGTAAAGGAGACAAAACTGCCTGCTGGGGGAACAGATGCAGAGATTCGTCCATGTATTTAAGGAAGAAAATCTATCCGTATGCAAATGAACAAGATTCAAAATTTATCTCTGAATGTCTAGACCTCGTTGAGACATTTCACATGTATTGTATTTTCTGTATTCAAGTAAAACTGAGCTAATGATTTCATGTTTTATCTATTGAATCAATTTCACTGTAATGATGCAAAAGCCATTTTATCAAACAATAATGGTGACCAAATAGGCATAACCTAATTATCCCTCAAAATAATCCTTTCCTTTATTTCACTTTCAAAAACAATCATACAACCGTGTTTCAAATGTCCAGACCAGCTGATATGCAGGGGGAAAAAAACAGGCAAGCATTTACTATACAGCAGCTTGAGAACAAGAGAGATTAAAAAGCTTGAGAGGGAAAACTGAGAGTCCAGGCTACTCTCTAGAGAACTGTTGTTCTCTGTTCAGCTTCCCTTACTGTACTGAACTCAGCAGTCCCACAGTCAGCTTTGTACATAGCAACCCCATTGTCCGACTGGAGTTAAAGCAGTATAGTTGATTCCTGAAGCATGTAAGTTGTGTTATATTAAGGAGAGCCTTTGTCCTTCACTTGTTTTGCCATGCAGAAGTCCATAATCCATTTGTTTCTGTAATTGGCAAGAGTATTAAGTCAGAAATGCCAGAGCTTGTGCATCACATGCATTCATAAAAAAAACGCACTGCCGATTGCCTTAATGTACTGAGCTTGAATATGTGCCTGCATTTACGTATGCTAAATGGCTCCATGAAAGAACCTTACAGTTTCTTATACAGTCATGCTCAGATGTTTGCAAACCCCTTGGGGAATCAGACATTTATACTTTTTTTTTTTTTTTTTTTTTGAAAAATAAGATATAAAATCCTATTTGTTTTTATTTACTGCTCTGAAGAAGCTGCATGACACATATTTATGTTTTTATAAGAAAGAAATATGACTTAAATTACACAAAAAATATCATATTCAGACTTTCACATACCTTTGATTCTTGATATTGTGTGTTGCCTCAAGCATCACAGTTTTGCACAAGTCCCTAAATTGTCCATAGTGCCAAAACTGGATCTCAAAATTATATTTCCAATGTAGGGAAAAACTGAAATGTGCAGAGCATGCTGGGAAACCAAATAACTTACAGGACCTGGAGGCTTTGTCAAGGAACAGTTTCACTGCTCAGGACAAACCATAAACTCATGCACAACTATCACAAAAGTCTACAAACACTCATTGATGCTTGAGGCAATGTATGATATTAAAAACTAAGGGTATGTAAATTTTTGAAAAAAGATCAGATATTGTTTTTCAGTTTATTTAGTTAATCTGTCTTGTGGAATACATGTGAATACATGTCAAATAGCTTCACACGGACAGTAAAAATAATAATAAAAAAAAGCATTTTGTAGACTCTGCAAGGGGAAGGGAAAATTGTGAGCATAACTGTATTTAATGCAGATGTTCTTCAATATATCCTGGAAAAAAATGTATATGTCCAGATTTCATGATCATGCAGCTTTAATTTAATGTTCAGTGGCATGGGATATTTGCCTTTATGGATAGTGATCCTTTTTGGTGTGAGAAGCTGCAGACCAGTTTTTAAATCGTATGAAGTAGAAGAAGTCACTGATCCTCTTTAAGTGGTCTCTGTCTGTTCTGTTCCTCTTTCTGTGATCTGGGGCTGCTGGATGCCCGCTCTTTTTCCCCTTTCTTGCTGGCTGGGTTGAGAGCGAGCACACTGGCTGCTCTCTCGGGACTCTCCGGAAGCCTTTCAACTTCCTGCGGGTTGTCGGACTCTTTGGCTCGGCCTGGCTCAGTCTTGGCTGCTTCGCCTTTTTGGGACCTCTCTTCCACATTGAAGTGAGAGCCATTCCTCAGTGTCTCTCTGCATTCTCCATAGAGATGCTGCTCCAGAGTCAGATTTGACGCTGCCAGGTGTTTGAACTCTGACTCAAAGGGAAAGCCACCGCCTGGATGGGTGGCTCCTTCCACCTGGCTAAGGACCGCAGTCCCCCTGTACACCTCGATCGCCTCTGGAAGCATGGACTTGATCTTGGGGAGCCAGCGTTTGCGAACTCTCCGGGCATTGGTGCACATGTCTGCGGCAATCACATTCATCTCACTTTCTTTGAAGTTAGGGGCAAAATTCTGACAGTAGACTAATTACAAAACAGAGACAGAGAAAAAACAAGAATATTAATGCTTCAAGTCCGCATTAAACCCATTTCAATTCCATATTGTGACATTTCCAAATGAAACAGTAGAAACGTTTGTGAGGTGTAACTGATTGGTACATGAAAAGTGGAGGTTGGAGGCAAGGAAAGATTTGATGAAAGATGAAAACGAAGCTTTTTTTGAGCAAACTAAACCATGCAATCATGCACACAAGGTGATGATACACATTTTGAGATATGTTGCTGGGCAATCTTGCCGAGCGATTGTTGCTTGGGCACTTTCTCATTGAAAATGGGCAATTTGGATAATTTAGATCGGTAATGGACCCTGTGTCTCATCTGGTTGCCCGTTGACGGCAACATTGCCCCGCAGCATTGTTTAGAAAGTTGCCCTGTGTATCATCACCTTAAGACCAGGCACACATACTAAAAATGGTCAATTTTGTTTGCTTTAACATCACTCACGTTTCACTGTGTTGAGTATGCGGCTGTCCAGTGGTTTGCGATTTGGATCACAGTTGGAGGAACGTATTCCAGTCCCACAGCTGTCAGCAAGTGTATTCCTGCAGTCAAAATACCATAGTCAACCACTGGAGGGCACACACACAAATTTTTTTCCAAAACACCATACGGCCCCTACAGTTCAATATACCTCAAAAACAATATACTGAAACATTTGAATATGAGGACATCTCTGCTTGGTTATTTTTACTGCAGGACTGAGCTCTTAGTATTTCATACATTAAGACAGATCCACATACATGCTTGATACACATTTGTAATGTTTCAGACCTGTCAAAAAAAGCAGCTAGAAGACGTCTAAGCAAGACTTTGTGCTTGACCCCAGCACAGAGGTGACAGTTCATCAGCTGCCCACGAGTCATGAAGACACCAGATCCTTTCACAACACCAACAACAGAGAAACAAGGAGACCTTAGCTCTGAATCAGTGAATCAAATGACTCAGTCTGAAGTGATAAATAATTCAGATGGACATGGAGTTTCAGACAGGCTGGTATTATTCAGGCCTCACCTCCAATTAGCTCCAGTCTCTCTCCAGGGTCGCCCTCTGTGTAGAGAGCAGGATGGCAACGGTAGCCGATCTGGCTGATGAGTCCGGCAGGCAGAGCCTCTCTGTCTCCTCCCAACAGCACACAGAAACGGTTCTCCAAGGACAGAGGCAGGGAGGACACCTCCATCTTCTCTTGCACTGGGAAGAGACACAAAAGATCACACTCACAGGAATGCATCTTGAGCTGCAACGGAGCGAAAGAGAAGTCCATTAAACGACATTTACTGCTATAGATCCCAGACGAGCCCCCAAAGATCTTTCCGTTTGTCAGGCTTTCGTACGAGTCGTCTTCAAAGTCCTCCTCCTCATTTTGGTGTGAGGTTGGGCTGTCTGTGGTCGGGAGGCTAGAAGCACCGGGGCTGGCATGATCTCGGGTCGAGTGCTCGTAAGCATGCATCACGGGTATGATCCCGTTCACACCTCCACTGGTGTAGAAAAGAGTCCCATTCCTTAAAGATCTGCCCCTAGCTCCCCTATCCTCATCTGAGTGCTTTAGCTCTCCATTCCGAGCACATACCGGGGTCTCCAACTTTTCTTCCTTGATCTTGCAGAGAGTTGTGGGCTGGTCGCCTAGCAACAGGGAGGAGTTGTTGTTGTTTGGGCTAGGGGGATCGTCTGTGGCAGATGTCTGTGAGTCGCAGTACGGAGCACTGGCCTTGAACATGAGGTCCATTCCCCGCTCCACGATGTTCTGGATTTGCAGGTAGCCTGCGGTGTACATGACCATCAGCTGATCGCTGGCACTCACCGTCATCCGGCCCGTGTAGCAGAACGATAGAATCTGCTGGAAGCAGGATGGGGCACAGATGAGGGCAACTCAAAGAGTGTCTGGGCACTACCGCTGAACAGGTCGCGGAAGTATAGGCTGCTGGCTGCTAAAACGGCGCGATGGGCCTTGAAGGCCTGTCCATTGACCATAATGGCCACATCACAGTGTTGGCCCAGCAGCCGCTGTTCGTTCAGGCTGTCCAGAACAGTGCTGCCAAAGTTTGGAATCTCCATGTGCAAGAGTTGAGACATCATGCCCGTTTCAGATCTCTGGAAAAGACACGATGTTCTCACCAGACATCTAAGACAGAAAAAAGTCAAAATGAAGGTGGACCGGCTTGATGAGGCAACAAACAGAAAATTACTACATTCAAAAGTCACACAATGTTTATCTGGTGCCGACACAGCAGAAAAATGCGACAGAAATGCTGCACAGCAACTCCCTTGGTAAACAGCTCTCTTCACCCCAACATTACTAGAGTCTCCATGTTTGGCAACTCAGCATAAGCTTGCCTGGAGTATTCAAAAGAAGCTGAAAAGTGACCCACAAACCCACCCGCCCACCCTCCCTCTCCACCCCGCCACTACCTGACCTCTATAGCAGAATCTTCCGAGATGAGAGAGAGAGAATGCGGGCAGGCTCCTCACAGCAGCTCAGCATGAGGAAATGCAGCTTGAGAAGCAGAGAGATACGTCTCAATCCGTCCTCTTCCTCCTCGCACAGGACTGAATCAGAGAGAGGGAAAGCAAGCGTCTGTGTGCAATCGATGCACCATCTACTGTATGTCACAGAAAGGGGGAGAGAGGCTATAGGCACAGACACAGAGACTAGGGAGAGAGGGGGAGGGAGTGAGACTGGAGGAAAGTCATTTAAGGACACAGAGTGAGAGAGAGAGAGAGATCGAGCGAGAGACAGAGAAAGAGAGAGAGCCTGATGCGGATAACTGCCCTGCAGAGAGTAAACGTGTTCATGTGCGATGGAGACAAAAGACAGGCAAGGCAAATGAGCGAGAGAGAGAGAGAGAGAGAGAGAGAGAGAAATGGCTCACTTTTATTTGAACATCACCACACGAAGAAAAGACAAGAACGGGAGCGTTTACCCCGCATGCACCAACCGGAACGTGTGCAGACACATAATCCATCAGAAACCGTCTCTGCCATGAGTGGCTCCGTGCTCAGGATTATTTACATTAATGTCAGACAAATGGTGTGTGCCAGGAGAGCGGCTCTGCATTGCAGTCCCTGTCACAGGCTGGCATGCTCAGTACAGAGTCTGCATACCCAATCAGATGTGCCAACACGACATCAGACAGATACTCAACCGATAAAAGAAAGAAAAGAGATTGAGACTCTGCCTCAAAGCTGCCCTGAATGTCAGATCAGTACATCAAACCGAGAAGCATTTTAAGGTGGCACAAATTAGATGGATGGCTCAAAGACTGTATCGTGCGAGTAAGAGTTGAGTACAGAGCAGTGGGGCAGTAAAGCAGCGTCTCTCAGCAAAGTGGGGAAGAAGGCGCTGTGCTTCCGTCTCTGATTTGCTGGCTTTTAACACTGAGACGCCGACGGGCTACGCCGTGAGTCAGCGCTATCAGAGATAAACTGCCGTGTTCCAGTCTTCTGTCTAATATCAACAGCAAAAAAATATAATAAATCAATAAAGTGTGTCTGTGAATGCTACAAATCTCAATTCTTACTGTCTGTCTTGACTTTTTAAAAGCAAGGAAAAAAGCAAAACATGACACATTAACTTGTCTCTTGAAGAAACTGCCTCAAACTTTGTTTTCAGTGTGAAATGACACAGTCATTGACGAAAATGTCCTCTTCCAGTCTGAAGAGATGAACATAGTTTAAATTTGGAAACAAGAGTGCCCGTGTAGACATCTGTTAAGTTGACAGCTGGAGCTCTAGTAGTGGACAGTGTTAGTATGGTCACATGTATGATGTCCCTGGGGAGAACAGACTGCAGTCTGAGCTGGTTGAGAAAGGAAACTCCATACTGCCTACTAGAGGGTAGAGACAGACTTACAGCAATAGAAAACTTGAATGACCTATCGATGTGCTTAGACTTTAAGTTGCAGTTACACTGTGTTCTCAGAATGGCACATTCAACTGTTCTCTGGAAAAATGATCATTTAAGAATTGTTGCTCAGAAAATGCATCTCAAAATGAAACATTTACACCTTGTTTTACACCCCATGTAACAGAAAACTATAATGGTGCTATATAAAATATTGATGGTTAAAAAAAAAACATTGTTGCATTGTTTGTAGTTATGAACTCTGGCACATTTATTTTGAAAGACAACTTCTTTAAACAACCCCACCCCCACCCAAAAAAAAATTCTTTACATAAGAAATGTAATTCTTAAAAGTACAGAAAGTAATTAAAAAAAAAAACTTCATGAAATAATAATGGTAAAACAAAATGTAATTAATTGCCATTCATTTGGAGCAGCTTAGATAGCCATGTGCACATACTGAACACAGAAGCCACATTTTTTTAATAATATGCTTCGTAAATATTTAGCCTCAGGTCTCCATTAACACTGGTTCGATACATAGCGAAATCATGAGCTGAACACATTACCTCAAATAAGTCAAACGTTGATATTAAACAATAAAAAAAGTTCACAATATCAACACATTTTAATTCTGAACTTTGAATCCAGATACTGCTGTAGTGATGCTGTATGTTGAACAATGAATAGTCTGTCTTTAGGAATCTTATGAATACATTACAATAATTGTTTCCCTTAAGGTTCAACATATTCTAGGAGCTCTACAAAATGTCATTAATTGTTACAGTGTCTTGGACCAGTTTTTTTTTTATGTGTGTTCCAGTTTAAAGGTATCCCTGCAATCTACAGAAAAAGAAAAAAAAGTTTTAACTGTTTCAATAGATATTATAAACCCCTCGCTGCAGAGTTACACCAATAAATCAACCAGATTTAAAAAAGATTTTAAAAAAAAAAAGTGGAATTAAAAAATTGGAATTAAGCCACCTTTTCAAGTCAATACTACTACTACTACTAATAATAGTAGTAGCTCTTGTGACTTCACATGCAGAGTTAAAAAAACAGAGTTCAAGCAGCCTATTTAACAAATTTCAATGGACCATGAGAGTAACAAAACCGAGGGTTTTTCCACTGGTCATTGACAGGCAGTGTTATGTTTCACTGGCTTCTCCGCTAGCGACCTTGAGTGACAGAATAAATCAAGTTACTCAAGTGTTTTTGGACCGTCAATTAGAAATATGGGGACAGTGTGACATTCATAGAGAACAATATTATACCCTATGAGAAACTAACTTGGGATAAATTATTTCAATAAAAATCTAGATAAATAATGTAGAATATTCCATAAAAAAATATTTTGACCTAGGTTGTTCCTTTTTAGTGTAATAAAATAGTTTCTCATGTTAAATAATCCTCTGTGTTTAGGGTTGAGGAATCCTCACTAACACAACTAGGCCTGAGCAGAGCTTTCATCAATCCTAAGACAAGTTCTTCATTACAAAATACATCATAAAAACATCAACAACAATGCTCACCCCAGCCTCCAAAATTTTAAAATAATCAAATAAATTAAGTCTCCTTCAACACTTGGCACCTTATTCACAGTTTTCCATCTCAGTATTCTGCTATTATACGTAAGGGCGGTAGTTTCTGCCTTTCCATCTCTTTGAACGAAAGCGGAAGAAGAAGAACATGAACATGAGAAAGACGCAGGAGAGGGCGTAGAGCAGCACGCAGAGACTCATGTCCACGCTGGAGAATCCCAGACCCAGGAATGTCATCCCTGGTTTGGCTTCTATCTGGACACCAGAGTGCTTCTCTTCCGCACCATTAATGCCAGTCCTCTTCTGATGTAAAGGAATATTCTCAGGAGAAGGTTTTAGGTTCTGGTTGAGGTGAACGTTGCTTTTAGGTTTGGTTATGGCTTTGGGATTGTCAAGAGCCGGAGGGCCTGGCTCTGGATGGCTGCTGCTGGAGTATTTTGGGGAGATGTTGGAAGCACCGTAGTGTTGTTTGAGGAAAGCCAGGACCATCTGTTCATCCCAGACATGAAGGCCTTCTTGCTCCTCATGGCATGTGGGACAGAGATCAGGAGTAGGCCACTGAGTCTTAGGAAACATGGGGTCCTCACTCATTGAGCCTGCATAAAGAGTGCAATCAACAATGAGGGTGACGTGTGGTTTCATTAGTCATTCTTTCTTTTCTTTCCTTCCTTTTTATTCCTCCCTTCTGGTTCTTAATGTAATTTTTCTTATTTTGCCATTTTGCCTTTCTTCTTGTCTTTTCTCTTTCTTCCATATTCCTTTCTTTCTTTATTTTCCCCCATCCAGTCCTAATTTTCTTCTTTCTGTTTTTCATCCCTGCATCACGGTACTTTTGTTCTTTTTTGATTTCTTTTCCCTTTCTAGTTTCCTGTCTTATCTCGTCTTCCTTTCCTTTCAGTTCTACTTTCTTTCTACTCGTCTTTCCTTCTTTCTTCCCTCCTTTCTATCCCCTTTGCCTTTTCTTCCTTCACGTCATTTCTCTGTTTCTTGCTTCCAGTCATGCTTTCACTCTTCATGTCTTTTTTCCTTCCTTCATGTTCTTTGTCCTTCCAGTCCTAATCATTCTCTCTTCCTTTCCTTTTCTTGCTGTGCTTCTTTTTCATCCTTCCTTCCTGTCATTATTATCTACATATATATTAATTTCCTTTCTTCTTGTTCTTTTCCATTAAATCCTGATTTCATTCTGTATTCCCCTCCCCTTTCCGGTCTCTATCTTTTGTAACATCACTTCTTTACTGTTACTTTCATTCATTTTAATGCATCCTTGCTAAACAAAAGTAATAATATTGGAAAAAAAGTTTTTTTTTTCTTTTTGGAAAAAAAAAAAAAAACTTTTTGTAAAGTAATGTTTTAATCAGTTTGAACACCCTGTTATTTTGCAACGTCTCCCACTTAGAAATCATGGAGGGGTCTGAAATTGTCATCGTAGGTGCATGTCCACTGTGAGAGACATAATCTTAAAAAAAAAAAAATCCAGAAATCACAATTTATGATTTTTTTTAACTATTTATTTGTATGATACAGCTGTAAATAAGTATTTGAACACCTGTCCATCAGCTAGAATTCTGACCCTCAAAGACCTGTTTGTCTGCCTTTAAAATGTCCACCTCCACTCTATTTATTATCCTAAATTAGATGCACCAGTTTGAGGTCATTAGCTGCATAAAGAAGACGCCTGTCCACCCCATACAATCAGTAAGAATCCAACTACTAACATGGCCAAGACCAAAAAGCTGTCCAAAGACACTAGAGACAAAATTGTACACCTCCATGAGGCTGGAAAGGGCTACTGGGAAATTGCCAAGCAGCTTGGTGAAAAAAGGTCCACTGTTGGAGCAATCATTAGAAAATGGAAGAAGCTAAACATGACAGTCAATCTCCCTCGGGCTGGGGCTCCATGCAAGATCTCACCTGGGGTGTCCATGATCCTAAGAAAGGTGAAAAATCAGCCCAGAACTACACGGGAGGAGCTGGTCAATGACCTGAAAAGAGCTGGGACCACCGTTTCCAAGGTTACTGTTGGTAATACACTAAGACGTCATGGTTTGAAATCATGCATGGCACGGAAGGTTCCCCTGCTTAAACCAGCACATGTCAAGGCCCGTCTTAAATCCAGAGGAGTCATGGGAGAAAGTCATGTGGTCAGATTAGACCAAAATAGACTTTTTGGTCATAATTCCACTAACTATGTTTGGAGGAAGAAGAATGATGAGTACTATCCCCAAAACACTGTGAAGCATGGGGGTGGTAGCATCATGCTTTGGTGGTGTTTTTCTGCACATGGGACAGGGCGACTGCACTGTATTAAGGAGTGGATGACCGGGTCCATGTATTGCGAAAATCTGTGTGGAGAAGTGGGCCAAAATCCCCTCCTGCAGTGTGTGCAAACCAGGTGAAAAACTACAGGAAACGTTTGACCTCTGTAATTGCAAACAAAGGCAACTGCACCAAATATTAACATTAATTTGCTCAGGTGTTAAAATACTTATTTGCAGCTGTATCATACAAATAAATAGTTAAAAATCATACATTGTGATTTCTGGATTTTTTTTTTAGATTATGTCTCTCACAGTGGGCATGCACCTACGAGGACAATTTCAGACCCCTCCATGATTTCTAAGTGGGAGAACTTGCAAAATAGCAGGGTGTTCAAATACTTATTTCCCTCACTGTATATACTATGTAACCCATGAGATGGCGCAAGAACTTAAATGCACCAACATTTTGTAATGCAGTCATTTTACTTTAAATACATTTCTGTCTTACCTGTCAGTCTTGCATTAACCTGGTTGTGCTTTCTCCACAGCCACAGTACTGCCTCATCAACAGACTTGACCTGGTTCAAAGACTCCTGAGCCATCTCCTCAAAATGCTTCCCACACTCCTGGCAACCAAAGAAGGTCCCAATGTAGCGCCGCATGGTTTGAAGCACTGCCAAGGGATCATCCTCAAACCCTGAGAGGAAGGTATGTTTAAATTAATTGTAGCAATGTAGAAACATGAACTTATAGACAAAATTTACCAGATGACTGTTCTGCTTGCTACTTGGCCCAAAGAGTGACACATATATACATATGTATATATACACACAGTATATGATTTTATCACAGAAAAAATTATACTTAAAATGCTCAATTAAGTAATCTACAGTCACAATCGCAATTACAAAAAATGATGAGATCTCAAATCATGTTTCTGTTTGATTAAGAGGAAGGGATTTCCCTGTTCATACCAGTGTTGGCTAGAGCATCAGGTCGGTTGGCTGCTTGCACAGTCAAAACGTGAAACAGTGTCCAGAGGGAGCAGGGATATCCTCTTAGTGCCACACTACTGCCCTGACATCCAACCCACTGCACTTGCTCACTGAGGTACAGGCCCGATATCTTAGAATAATACAAACAGATCACTTTAAAACCACCAACAAACTGATTTATGATCTTGTCACATACAGAAAAATGATAAAAAATAAAATAAAAATAAAAAAATAATAATATTTATTTTTATAGCAGGAGCTATAAAATAATATTTATTTTTATAGCTTTTAATAGCAGGAGCAGCAGTGGTTGTGTAATGGGTGACACTCTTACCCTCATTTTGTTGTTAACTAGGTCCAGAATAGCATTATAAGGGATCTTCTCCAAAGGTAAACTGACTAGCCATTCTAACAACGTCTCAAGAAGTTTCACCACAGACAGGCGACCTGGAAATAGCTAAAATCAAAAGCGCCAAGTAAGATACAACCCTGTACATTTTAAAGCTCTAATGAAAACAATTTCAGTGCGAGTAGAAAGCTCAAGCGCAAAGAAAAAGTTGTGTTTGTGTATTAAAACACTACCTTGGCAACAACTGTTATAAAGTCCTTGAAGGTTTTTAGTTCTTCTCCTTCTAAGGTCTTGTGGGTGGCCAGTTCAACCCTCAGTAGATAATGTAAGCCAGACTCCAGATCTGCCATGTATACCTTAGACCTGAAGAAACATTAATACTGGTCACCTCGTCTTACTTAAATGCTCACAAACCTTTTACTAGCTGTTGATTTAATTTTATTTCATATAACTGTTAAACTTCAGACACTTAGACTACTTTTCGTTTTACTGCAAATTTACACTACTGTTCAAAAGTTTGGGGTCAGTCAGATTTTAAAACGTTTTTGAAAGGAAGTCTCTCAGCCTCAACTACTCCGCATTTACTTAAATACAGTAAAAAAAGGTAATATTGTGAAATATCATCACAATTTAAAATAACCGTTTTCTGTTTGAATATATTTAAAAAAAAATGTAATTTATTATTGTGATCAAAGCTGAATTTTCAGCAGCAATTACTCTAGTCTTAACTGTCACATGATCCTTCAAAAATCATTCTAATTTGATTTGGTGCTCAAAAAAAACATTTCTTATTATCAGTGATGAGAATGTGCTGTTTAATATCTTTGTGGAAATGATGATACGTTTTTAAGGATTCTTTGATGAACAGAAAGTTCAAAACAGCACTGATTTAAAATAGAAATATTGTGTGACGTTATAAATGTCTTTACTGTTACTTTTGATTAATTGAATGCATCCTTTAATTTATTAAAATAATAAAAAAAATCTCACTCACCCCATTTTTTTAACCATAATATCTATATACAAAAAAAAAACTCACTTTTTAAACTCTTTCCACTCCACTTGGGTTCCCTGCCCATTATTTCCAGGCTTATGATGCTGCAGGGATGAGGTGGACTGCTTCCTGTGGACTCCAGGGAGGAGTTTTAGGAAGGAGGAGAAGAAAAAGCGTAGCCTCTTCTGACTGTTAACACAAACAAAAATGTATCAACTGTGCATAAACAGGGCTTCTATTTGGTAGACAACAATGAATTTAGCAGAGGTCATCGACATACACATTCATCACAGTGTGTGTGCCGTTGGGGTGGAAGAGGTATGCTGAGGGAACTGAATTAATCCCTAGTTTCTCCATTAGAAGTTTGTCTGAGCTCAGAGCTCTCTTCACTGCTATACCCTCATATGGCATTAGGTCCAAAATTACCTAGTTAAAAAAAAGATAACATTAAATTAGAGCATTACAATTCTAGCTGCATCACTAATTATGCCTAAAGGGATCATTTAGATCATCATCTACTCACCCACTCATCGTTCAAACCCTATGTTATTTTCCTTTTTCCATAATACACAAAACACGTTTGGTTTATTGAATTGTCTAAAGGCATGGGTATACTTCATTTTCGGTGTTCCACTCACTCACGCACAGCATAGTTTTAGTGTTGGGTTTTCTTTTTTTTTTTTTGTAGAAAGTGAATTATTTCAAAGACAAAATTTGGTAACACTTTTCAATAAAGTTTAATTTGTTAACATTAAAGGGTTAGTTCACCCAAAAATGAAAATTAAGTCATTAATTACTCACCCCCATGCTGTACCAACCCCGTAAGACCTTTATTCATCATTCATAGAACACAAATGAAGATATTTTTGATTAAATTTGAGAGGTGGATCACTACCACATAGGCACCCTAAGGGATTGAAACTTGACGGCCCAGAAAGTCAATGAAGAAAATGTTTAAATATTCCATTCCATTCCGAGAAAAGAGATGTTCTGCACAGGGGGGCACTGGGTCCTCAAGGCATGATATAGCTTTGTGCCCAAATCAAATCACAAAAGACTTTGATTGAATTAAATAAAAATACACATTTTTTCTCATATGCATAATTTCCAACATTTTTGATTGCAGCGTTTTACTAGATTTATGAGACATGTTTGCAAACCTGTTTTTACAGATATAAAATATAGGCCATTACTGTTATTACATATAAATTACTATTTTATTATAATTGTTTCTTCCTAGGTTTCCTAAAACATCAGTGTGAATGTAATGTAGACAGACACTATATCAACTAAAAAGAAGATAGAGTCCCTGTTAAAGTCAATGCACAGACTTTTTTTTTCTTCATTCAGTTTGTACACTGAACATGGGTAATTTAACTTTAAAAATGTACAAAATGTTCTTTTTATGTGAACCCCCACAGTCTCACAAAATCCTGTGGGAAACACTGGATCACAATTTATTAGAACCTACAAAAGAAAGGCATAAAGTGTTCTTTTGTCACTAAAAAACAGACACACCACTTACAACCAGTAAACAGAATGAGGTTTCAATGTTTCAAAGACTCTATAGCTGTAAAATGCTGTTATAATGCTGTACAGCGATTCAGCTGAAACACAACACTTACCCCGGAATGGGCACATTACAGTTCATACACATTTAGTATCAATAAAGCAAAATGGCATACACATCTGAATTAAGGCATGTGTCATCTGAAGCCGTGAATGCTTAACAACAACAATTTGCCCTCCAGTGCCGCAGTATAATTCTTATGTATGTATCAATGCCTGCTACAATAAAATAACAATTACATTGCTATGGAATGACATATGGGTGAGTAAATGATGACATCTGATCTTATACTGCTTATGTTTTTCATACCTCTCTCCCTATATAAGAGTCTACGTCCTCAACTATAACTGCAGTATAGAGCTCCGTTTTCTTCTCCTTTAAGGACAGGATGTCCTCAGACCTGCAACAGATAACAAACTCAGTTTTTCAATAGGAAATTGAGACACATTCCATTTATGTCTAGAAACTAAACAAACATCTCTAAATGTCCCTCTTAAATCAGGAGTAAGAACATGTTAAATATTAAACAGATGGAATTGAACATTAAAAAAAAAAAAAAAAAAAAATAGGAGGTAACGTTGTAGATTTGGCCACCTGACAGGGTCAAGGGGAGGGCAGCCCACAGGCCAGTTTTGTCTAGTGTGGTTTTGGAGGAAGTTCACCATCAACTGCCTAACTGTCTGTAGCTCTCTGTCAGCCCCTAACAGTACACAAATAAAACAAAATCAGAAATACAAGTTACATCCACAATAATAATAAATCACTGAAACAATTTCAATTCTAATCAGAGCAAAAATTTTGAAACCCACCTCGATATGTCTTCCCCAAATCATTTGTGGTATCATGTGCCTTGAAATACTAAAAAAAAAGAAAAAGACATTACTCCTAAATGAAAAGTACAAAAACAACATGTCCTATGTGTGCCCATTTCAAAACCAGGCATGTTTCCAGGAAATTTGGAAATTTGATAAGGGTCAGGGTGTAATAATACATTTGTCTACAGTATGGTTACCCTGGTTTCAGGTTTACCTGACCTCGATCAGACATAGATAAGACATGGTATAGTGTTCAAAAACAGCTAGAAAATAGCACAACAAAATAGAACAGAAGGCAGTAATATTGTTTCATCAAGTTAACTTGGCATTTTAAAACGCTGAGATTGCGACAAGACAATAAATAAACAGTATAAGAAACATGCTGCATCCAATAAACAAATGTAAAGATGCAACAGTTCTAAAAGGTTTTCTACTCTGCTAAATGTCTGACAGCATGTGAATAAAATGACCATCTCATTTCAAATAAAATATAAATAATAAAAAATTCAAACAATTGAAGCACCCTCTGTAATTTATTAGTATTTTGTTAGAAAACTAGTTGAATAGGAGACTAGACCCCTTTTGCGCCCACGTCACAGTTACGTCACGGCGCAAAACAAAGTGAAAACTGGAGGCGGTCAATGCAAAACAGCACAGATTTGGCTACATAATAAGGAGCTTAAATAATTGTTACTATTATTAAATGTCATCTTGTTGTGTTGTTTGGTGCAAGAATTGATGAAAAATGAATATGCTGTATCTGGAACTTTTATTTCTAGAAAATTTTCACATCATTAAAATCGCACTGTAATGTCACTCTTTATATTGTCGTGGTCTCTGCGCTGGCTCGGCAGAACTGCAGATCATACACACAAGTCTTGTGCAGGACCATATAGGCATCTAAAGATTTATATGCCCTCAGTTTCTCTTTACGATCGGTTTCTCTATAAGGTAGGTGTAGAAGTCAGGCCACTCAACCGAGGTAACGTACGTTAATCCTGTCAGATCGTCCATGCATTGAGTGAGTGTGTAGGCGGCTACGGGTCGGCCAATCTGGTTCAGTCCGTTAAAAATAACTTTTGGAAATAACAATCGCGGTCCTGGACACAGAGTGACCTTACACATTAAGATAATATCGGATTTTCTCCAGTCATTGTTAAAAAACAAGCTAACAATCCTTGCTAACTAGCGTTAGTGAAGCGGCCAGACGGATCTTTCTGCCTCCACCTAAGCTCCGCCCACAAAAAAACGTCACCATGTTTACCAACTGTAAAAGGGTCTATTGTAACATCCTTAATTTATGAGATGCTTATGTTGAATGTATAGCTATGTATGGCAAAAGTTTGAGCCAAATGAGTTTTGCAAAAGGGTGGAACTACCCATAATGACAAAATAAAAAAAACAAGCTTTGTTAGGACAAGGTGTGTGTAGTATCGTCTACAACAGTGTTATTCAAATGGCGGACCTTGGTTCCACCCGCATGGTAGTTCATTGTAATGATCTTTAGGAGCTGTATCTGTAATATTTTTATATTAGTGCTTATACAAAGTGCTTCATTCAAGCTCTTTCAGCTTCGTGTGCGTTGCTTCTCTTGCTCCCTCTCTAAGAGCTGCAGACGACGAGATTATTTTAACAATAGTAGAAAACGAGAATGCAGAGTTGTGGAAATTTGAGGGAAAAGGACCTCGGAGAGTAGAAAAGATTGCCCATTTCTTCCTGTCTGTGTCTCATTCACTCCACAGACTGGGCCTATTCTTGCAAGAATAAATACTACTTTTAATAATTTGATTCAGAGTTGTCTCTTACGCACTGATGATCTTTAATAGAATTTTTGCCATAACAATTTGGTGTCTGAAGAGCGGGATTCCTTGGATGTGCCTTTTGGACCTGAGAGCGGATGGTGTTTGGCCACCTGAACTGACTGAGCAGTTCCAGCTCTACCTTGTAAACTTGAGAGAGAGGGGCCGCCCGCTATCAGGGCCAGGTGAACTCCACTGGAATTGGGAAAAGAGAATGAACCCTTGACAAACCATCTCTCTGGTAAGTGTCAAATTATTTTGTTTTGGTATAAAAGTGAGTGAACCTTTAGTAGCTGAGTCTATTTGTGTTGCGAGTACAAGATTTGTCTGAAATTAATTGAGACCTGAGAGCAGGCCAAGAGATTTCAAGCTGGCACTGAGTACTCGTGAAAATCTGGAATTGAGATCTGGGGCCAGATCAAGAGATTTCAGGCAGATTACAGTACAGAATTAAATGAGACCTGGCAACGGGTCAAGAGATTTCAGGTGGACTTTAATCTGGAATTAATTGAGATCGGGCAGCCGGATCAAGAGATTTCAAGCAGATAGATAAAGCACTAGAGAGTGCACCCTTAACTGATCTTGGTTTAAGAAATCAGATCTGTTGGAGACGTCCGACAGATTATTAGACTCGTGTTAAATGGTATATCCAAAGAAACAGAAAACAGCCAGTATGGGGAAGTATACCAAGCTTGACAAATTAGATACACCGGTTTCCTGTCAAATGAAAGAATGACGGACAGAATTGTATGCAGGATATAGAGAAGTTAATCAAACATCATGATTTTCCCAGGGAGGGAACATGAGATAAATCAGAACAGGGCAGTGAGAAACAAAAGTTTTTGTGCCTGTGTTCAATGTAAGCAACATGGACAATGGATTGTTGGTTTAAAGAGGCAGATAAAAGTTTTTACTTCTTCATCCAGTAAATGGATGCATGACAGTCTAGAGAACTTAAATTTATATGATACGGATTGATACGGCTGTCTGTGTGAAATAGGGGATTGTAATATGATATTTTGGTTTCTCCAAAACAGTAGAGCTAAGTGGGACTGAGACAATACTAATAATATATATATTATTTTTTTGGATCTCAGACTCACCATTTGATAGAGGAATACGGTGTGAAGTAGTTATAATAAAATAAATAAATAAATAAATAAATAAATAAGTGTTAAATAGAGGTGGGCATAGATAATTTTTTTTAAATCTAGATTAATCTAGATTAAAATGGCTCATTTGAATTCTCATTCAGGCATTCAGAATGTGTACTACCCAAATAATGACTAAAAGTAAGTCTTTGAGAATAGTCCGCCTCGTGTAGGGATGTGCATTTTTGCCAAAAATGCCATTCGACAATCGAGGAGCAAAAGTCAAATATCGTAAAAAAAACCAAACAAAAAAAAAAAAAAAACGCAATGACAGAAAGGGAGGCCAATTTCATCTTTAGCGATTTGTCATCAAACAAACTTTTTATTAATTGAACAAGTAACATGTTTTCATCTTTTTTTTTTTTTTTTTTTTTAACATAGTAGGCTAACTGGAAGAAAAAAACAATACGCACGCAGGACAGGCTGTTTTTGCATCGCCAATGCTCGTTAGGTCAAAAAATAATGTCATCATGTCATAATGATTTTATGTGAACCTAACTTGTTACTGCAATAGCCTCCTTTTTAAACAAATTAGTTTCAATCAAATGTAAACTATTCGTGTGATTATGCCACTGCGCTATACACACACATTACCGCGGGATGGTGGGTGTTCATTTCATAAACTGTGGACAATGGTAGCTTATTTAACCGGTTAACCAGTGTGCCGACGCTCTGAAGCGTTTTTTTGTAGCCTATAAATTAATGTATGTCCAAAAACCGGATAATGTCATACTTTTTAGTAGTGCTATCGTGGCGTAAAAATCTGTTTGGTTGTAAAATGTATTACTTCCTGTTACTTACGACTCATCGAGTGTGAATTGGAAGCGCTTCAGACGATTCAGTGCGTGAGAAACTGAACAGAACAACTGATTCGCGAACCGATTTAGACAGATCTGACAGCTTGTTTGAAAAAGTCTTTGAACAGAATCGACTCAAAAGAGTGATTCATTTTGTAAATGAGCATCGCTCATGTCCACACAAAGGATACAGCGCACTTGGAATAAACTCATTTAACAACGTATTGCATTAAAATAAAGTAACGTGAGGAACGTCGCCCAACGTAACAAAGTAAAAGTACACCTTGTGTACCTGACAGGAAAATACCCTGCTGTGTGATCTGTGACAGTAGGCGCAGCTTCAATTATGTCATACTACACATTAGAATTGCTCCAAAATATAACAATATTCGAAAAAGCTGTTTATGATCCCAACCTAACTTTGATTAATCGCCCGATAAGAGTCTCACTGCGTTAACGCCGATAACGGCCCAGCACTAGTGTTAAAATGCATGTTATGAAAACAAGGGTACTGAAGAATCAGTAAAACAGCACAAATTCTTTAAAGGGATACTTCAGGATTTAGCATTAAGCTTTGTATTAGTAGAAAACCTGTAGTATTTTTGAATTACCATGATCTCCCAACCTCATATCCCCCTGAGACGAGAGATTTATTAATTTTTTGTCTGGAAAAAAATATTTTTTGGCCAGAGGCTAAAGACTACAGTCAGTAGGGGCTGTTCCACATGTTTTCAACACACCCATAGATGGTGGGATCTCACTCACAGAATTTACACAGTGTCAGCAATCTTTTTTTGGAACCTAAGCTAGCAGGCTCTTGTTTTGTGGAGAAAGCGGAGTAGTAGGGGTTACCATCCTCTTTTTTCCCAGACAATCAGCCGGACATTCGGAGGATTCAGCTTTTGCTTTCGGCAGTCATCATTCATTGTTTACATGCACAGCTTTTGTTTCAATCTAACTGAATTCATTCCAAATGGTAAATCATTGGTGTTTACATGAACGCTAAACAAGTGATCATTTGATGTGCGTTTTAACATTGCTAAGAAAATTCCCGCTCCTCCGTGAGGGATACGAGACTGGTGTGTCTCACAGGTGTCGCTCATCGGTAATCATGCCACCGGCCTCGCACTGTCCTCACTCGTCTTGCTCGCCACAGTAAACATCATGAATAGCGACTGTAAAGCGCAAAAGCCGAATCCCGGACATCTAGACCGATCTAGAAACACATTTTCGGGCAGACTCATCACGGAGACTCTCTAGTAGCCTAGACTTGTTGTTTAACTACTGCGCTGTGTTACCGGTAGGCGTGGCCTCCTAGGGCAGCGAAGCAGTGTGCATTCTGGGAGTTGTTGTCTTTCATCCACATAAGCCAGAAATACATTTTTCTGGCTTTTCTCAGTCTAGAAAGGTCCAAATTCAAAAATAATTTCACATTTCTTCTATATAAATTACCCATTTTAAATACACATTCATCTTTCCAGAGGTGAAGTATCCCTTTAAAGAGGGAACTTTAAGTGTCACTATGACCAAGGAGTTAATCCATCAGCCGCCATTGTAGCAGAACTTCACCTGCTGTTAGCATTCCATTAAATCCCATTCATTTTGGCGTCACTTTGACAAAGAATAACTTCACATCTGAGGAGTCCAAAGACTCCATTTGTCCATTATTTCTAAAAAAACATGACAGTGTATAAAAGGCTCCATTACCTTGTATCTTACGTTATGGCCCTGTAGAAGCAGTTTTTATAAAAAATAGGCTAACGATTGCGTCATAACGAATCGACTCTTCGTTGCACAGTAGAGAAATTTCCTTATAGACAGGAGGAGAACCTCACAGGCAATCAGGGGGACATGGAGGCTTAAAGTCCGATAAAGTTAGAAGAGTGAGAAGCCCATAGAGTCATAAAGTTTATCCTGCTGCTAGCTCATAGAGAGCTAATACTCACTCTCTCCATCTCTGTGAGATTCGGATGTGAATCATTCAGATTTCAATTGGAGCAGCTACTAGAAGACATACATGTTGCTCACGTCACAGGCTCAGTTTGAACTTGCGCAGTATGCCTGGCTATCAGCTTTTAACGGGTTTTAATTTTCTCTGTCGAAATTAATGGGGTCGCTGTGTCCATTTCTTTTACTGTCTATGACTACGACAGGTGAGAGACTTGGTGGAAGAAGGAAGTGAAAAAACAAAAAGGTTGTTGTGCGAGACGTGTATGGATTGTAAGCAAACAATCATGTACTGGTTAGATGCGGCAGAGAGAAAAGAAAGAAAAGGATGCAGAGGGAACTGGCATGTAGGGAAATAGTGAAAGATGAGAAGAAATATAGTGGTGAAATAATGATTGAAATTATGTTTAGTTTTAGTTTGACAACCATTGTGTTTTAAGCCTAAAGGGTCTATAATGGGGGTAGTGAAATTAATGGATTAACCATCCATTTTCATTTATTACAAAAGGAATTGGAAATTATAGTTTTATAAAAAAACGAATGCATATATCCTGGTGTTTATGATTGTAGACTGTGAGTGACTGAGAAGTGAGTGACTGAGGGTCCAGCTATGCTGGGAGTACAGCAACAGTGCCTGCTTATTCAGCCCGCTTCTGGATGTTAGATGTGTACTGTAATTCGTGTTGATTAGTGGTGTAACAATATATTGTGCTACAATATATCGCAATACAAAACTGCAACAATATGTATCGTGGATAGTCTCCCAAAATAAGTTTTCAGAGTTTTAGTGTAAGTACTACATTAAACTACTATATACACTCACCTAAAGGATTATTAGGAACATCTGTTCAATTTCTCATTAATGCAATTACCAAATCAACCAATCACATGGCAGTTGCTTCAATGCATTTAGGGGTGTGGTCCTGGTCAAGACAATCTCCCGAACTCCAAACTGAATGTCAGAATGGGAAAGAAGGGTGATTTAATCAATTTTGAGCTTGGCATGGTTGTTGGTGCCAGACGGGTCGGTCTGAGTACTTCATACCTAAGACAGGGGGTCACAAGGTCACACCGACACTGGGCATCTCCTGATGGGAGGTGTGTTATGTAAGATGGCTATGAGAGTGGACGGATGCCTGCGAGGCCAACAGCATCCTTACATGCAGGGGGGATGAAGCTGTGAGAAGTTACGGCAGTCTGACCCAGAAACGTGAGTTCCTCTATACCACTCATTAGAAACCTCATTCATAGTATGGCTTGTTTTTCATTCTAACAAGTGTCTGCAACTATCCCAGGGAATAACACCCTGAAGAGAAGAAAATGATAGATTAAGAGCTAATGGGAACAGGCTTTCAAGAGCCACCAGAGACCATGAGGTGATTGGTATTATTTGTTGAGACTAGTGCTGTGACTGTTATTATATAACTGTGAGAACGACGGTTATAATTGAACACCGTCATTAGAAATCTATAACACCCAAAACCATGCTATTAAAATATTTTTTACAAACATTTATCATCATAGAGAATGTTCCAATACTAATATCAGTTTACGAGGGAAACGGAGGTGCTTCGAAGGCTGCTACTGTTGGAGATGATTCAGGAGAGGTCTGTGCTCTAAATATTTAATTTACCCCCCAAAAAAAACAGTGAGAATCAAGAAGGTAATTATGGAAAATTAATTTTTAGTTTTATTGATGTTGTAAATTTAAAGCTGCAGTAGAATGACAGCAATTGCACTTGGCTGTATGCACAGCTTCTTTTGTAACAGCGAATCTGCCCGAGCATGTACGTCACACCACACCGCCACACAGTTTGCGCGTTTAAATTGCAAAGTTCGTTGCAAAGTTTTTTTTTTTTTTGTTAAGGTTTTTTTTTTTTTTTTTTTACTGTGTGCGATATATTTAAAACAAAGTAAGTTCATTGCAACGTTTGTTTGTTTTTGTTAGGATTTGTTTACTGCGTGTGATTCATTTCATGGAAAGCACATTCATTTCTAGTTGTCTTGCTGTTCATTTTAAATGCACGTAGAGCGAGTAGCTAATCAGTGTCTGCTTGTTTATTCAAACTAAGTTAGTCTTATAACAGACGAACAGTTATTCAACCGAACGTCCAAAAACCCTTGGGTCAGTGTTGATGGCACAACAAATGAATTTAAATTGATGCAAGAGATGGGTCATTCATGCATCAAAAGGGGGATGGTAACAATTGCCAAATATGGTTTACTAATACCCCTTTTCCACCAAAGCATTTTGAGAGGCGGTTCAGAGCCGGTGCCTGTGCGCGAACCAGTTCTTTGCGTTTCGACAGCCAAAGAACCGGTTCTCGACCAGGAAAACTGGTTCCAAAGCGGCACCAACTCTCGCTGGATTAGAACCATTCTTTTACCATGTCATGTTTACATCGGGGGCTAGGGGCGGGTTTACATGTGTTCTAAAAATCTTTTCTGACCATAATATAGGATCGCAAAGCCGAGAAACGTTTGCAGAAACCACGATGGAGTCCGCCTTTGTAATTGTTATGCTTGAAGTTGGCGCAAGCATTTCTATTTTTTTTTTTATTGAAAACATTATAAGCAAAGAAGAAAACAGTCACAATATAGAATAAATAAATGAAAAGAAAAAAAAGACAAGACAGGGGTACATAACGTATCAGAAAAGATTAAAAGACTTACATATTTCAATTGTTTTTAAAGCCTTCTTGGTACATGAGTTAGAGATAATCCCAAAGTAATGTTGTACTTGCAAGCGTTTCTAGCTAAGATGTATGACGACGTACACAATGATGTAACAACATCGTTCCCTGCCTGGACACTCTAGTCAGTGGAAAAACAAAAAGGTTCAGAAAAGGTTTGCAAGGTTTGCAAAGTTGAACCAACTCCGAACCAACTTTGAACCAGCACCAGTTTCCCGAACCAGTTCTTTTTTGGTGGAAAAGGGGTATAAGTGGTTCACATTTGCTGAAAGCAATCACACAGGTGGGACAATATTGCTGTTTGTAAGTGTGTTACACGCTGATAATAAAATTGCAGGACTGTCTCTACAGGAAACGCCAAAGCAAATGCAACAGCGAATGCCGCGGCAGCACAGCAGACAAAAAAAGACCATGTGTACTTTACTATCTGAAAATAACCTCGACATTTATTTTTCTCTACAGATCATGCAGTCTTTTGTTACAGGGCAGAAAGAGCCCAATAAAATAATGTCTATGGATGAATTTGGCAAACTATTTGATTTCAGAGGGCCTTTACAATTATTTTAGCAAGATCCCAAGCCCCTAGTTAAGGCTCAGATTTATTGTATAGGTTTAATCTGTTGAACGAATAAATAGCAAACACAAACATACTCTGAAGGTGGGGTAGAAGTGGATTCCGAACTCCTTACAGATGTCGAAGTTCTTCTCATGAGCACAATCCAGAACTCCAATACGAATGGCCTGCGCCCAGTCTATGAGAATAGAGAGACATGTCACATATTTCAAAAACATATCTACACTTAAATGTCTAGTTAACCCAAACATTTAGTCATCAATTACTAACTCGCCCTCATGTTGTTCCAAACCCATAAGACTGTCCCTCCACCAAAACTGACAACAAGTTCATAAAGAGATCATAAAAGTAATCCATACAATAAGAGAGGTTTAATCCAAATCTTCTAAAGATACCCAATCACTTTATAAGATGAACAAAATTAATTTATTCACTTTTATTCCCATACAGTGAGGAAAATAAAGTATTTGAACACCCGGCTATTTTGCAAGTTCTCCCACTTAGAAATCATGGAGGGGTCTGAAATTTTAATCGTAGGTGCATGCCCACTGTGAGAGACATAATCTAAAAAAAAATAAAAAAAAATAATCCAGAAATCACAATGTATGATTATTTTAACTATTTATTTGTATGATACAGCTGCAAATAAGTATTTTAACACCTGAGCAAATTAATGTTAATATTTGGTACAATAGCGTTTATTTGCAATTACAGAGGTCAAACGTTTCCTGTAGTTTTTCACCAGGTTTGCACACACTGCAGGAGGGCATTTTGGCCCACTCCTCCACTCAGATCTTCTCTAGATCAGTCAGGTTTCTGGGCTGTCGCTGAGAAACACAGAGTTTGAGCTCCCTCTAAAGATTCTCTACTGGGTTTACGTCTGGAGACTGGCTAGGCCACAACCTTAATATGCTTCGTACAGAGCCACTCCTTGGTTATCCTCGCCATGTGCTTCGGGTCATTGTCATGTTGGAAGACACAGCCTTGACCCATCTTCAATGCTCTAACTGAGGGAAGAAAGTTGTTCCCCAAAATCTCGCAATACATGGTCCCCGTCATCCTCTCCTGTGCAGAAAAACACCACCAAAGCATGCTTCACAGTAGGGATGGTGTTCTTGGGATGGTACTCATCATTCTTCTTCCTCCAAACATGGTTAGTGGAATTATGACCAAAAAGTTTGTTAAGACCAACAAGACTTTCTCCCATGACTCCTCTGGATCATCCAAATGGTCATTGGCAAATTTAAGATGGGCCTTGACATGTGCTGGTTTAAGCAGGGGAACCTTCCGTGCCATGCATGATTTCAAACCATGACGTCTTAGTGTATTACCAACAGTAACCTTGGAAACGGTGGTCCCAGCTCTTTTCAGGTCATTGACCAGCTCCTCCCGTGTAGTTCTGGGCTGATTTTTCACCTTTCTTAGGATCATGGACACCCCACGAGGTGAGATCTTGCATGGAGCCCCAGCCCGAGGGAGATTGACAGTCATGTAGCTTCTTCCATTTTCTAATGATTGCTCCAACAGTGGGTCTTTTTTTTTTTACCAAGCTGCTTGGCATGTAAAGGCGGGCATACACTTGTGCGACTCTTTTTCGTGTCGAACCGATTTTCAGCTTTGTCGTGCGTCGTTTGTCGTGCAGTGTACAGGGAGAAACGAGAGGCGATTAACCTCTCACGATCAACAATCGGATGGTCGGATGAATTTCTGGCATGTCAGAAATTTTGGTCGCTCCTCGTGACTATATCGCACAGTTGAAGCAACGGTAAAAAACGATTTCCCTAAACTCAGTGTTTTTTCCCTCACTGCACCTGCGCGAAAACAGAAGTTTAACCATTTCATCTGCATCAAAAATAAAATTAAAATAAAAACGAAAAGAGGGAGAGCTTGTTCTGTAGTTCAAACTAGCTACAAATTACTGTTGCTTACCTCCAGTTCGTGTTGCAAAATAGATAATATTACCCACCTGCGATGCAACACCTCCTTTATTAATTTGTTAAACAATGTTTTTGAAATAAACCTGTTTTTAATTTTCATTGATGATAATTATGGCAATGTTTGGACATATTATAGACTGTTAATAGCTATTTTATATGCCTATAATTCATTGTAATCGACCTAAATGTTTTAGACAATTTTTAATGAGAAGTAAAATTATGTAATTATTATCCTCACAGCACGTTGGTTATGTGCTGTGAAAATATTGCGCAGCAAATTAATTACAATAGCGGATCAATTTAATAATAAAATTAGCCTATAGGCCTCCCCGAATAATTATAATACAATTATACTTATAATAATTAAATGCATAAACTGAAAATGCTAAATCATGTTGATATGGATAGCAGATGCTTGTTTTGACAATATCTCTGGATACACGTCTAAAGGCGCAACCCAGGGCGTTATCGCAGATATTACATGTATAGTGTGAGCAGTGAAGTCGCAGCTCGACGATCGGACCGTACAGTGTGAGCACATAAATCCTGAACTTTGGCTTTGCATCGCATGCGATTTACTCGTTGAGTGTGAGTAGGTACCTTGCTGAAATCGCACAGACATCGCACAGTGTATGCCCGCCTTTAGTAGTTGGATTCTTACTGATTGTATGGGGTGGACAGGTGTCTTTATGCAGGTAATGACCTCAAACTGGTGCATCTAATTTAGGGTAATAAATGGAGTGGAGGTGGACATTTTAAAGGCAGACAAACAGGTCTTTGAGGGTCAGAATTCTAGCTGATAGACAGGTGTTCAAATACTTAGTTATTTGCAGCTGTATCATACAAATAAATAGTTAAAAAATCATAAATTCTGATTTCTGGATTTTTTTTTTTTTGATATGTCACTCACAGTGGAGATGCACCTACAATGACAATTTCAGACCCCTCCATGATTTCTAAGTGGGAGAACTTGCAAAATAGCAGGGTGTACTTATTTTCCTCACTCTAAACTCATCACAAAGTTCACCTTCTGAATGGAGGGTCACCTTCTGAATCTTTCAATGGAGGGACAGAAACTCTGTCATTAAAAAGCATCTTCAATTGTGTTTGAAGATGAACAAATGATTTAGGAGGCTGGAAAGACATGAGTGCAAGTATATAATGACAATTCTCATTTTTGGGTGAACTATCAACAAAATCAAATATTCCTATTTTATATTAAATGTCTTTAATATTTATTAACATTTAAATTAACCATTTCATCATACAATGCATTTATTGTGTACATACATTTTTTTACATTGTACTTATATTTAAAAAATACCTGCAAGTAATTACAGCTATACATTTCTGTAATTACATCTATAATTACACGGCTGATGCTTCCATTATGCTTTAACCCATCCTTAACATAACCATACAATGAAACATGCCCCTAACCATATCCATTTCCCACCATCAAGTGTTTTGCAATAAAACATGCACACAATATGAAAATGTTTTATGCAAGTATGTAGTAGTTAAAGATATACTATAAAGTGTGAGCAATAAATATAAGTGATAAAGCACCAAATGATATCAATAATTGAATGAAATGTCAAAAAAAAAAAAAACGCATACAGAAAGGCATTATACAGCCGCAATGAAAAGAGGTAAATGAGTACTTGTAGAGACTTGAGCCTAGTTCCATTACTTCATTTGTGTTGTATAACACATGCTGACGTCCACGCTAAAATGTCTTATCGGCATTGGCACCCAGAACAGCTGCCAGATAACCTAAGTGGACAGGAACTCTGGCTGGAAGCCTAAAATCATTTGATGCATTATGACGTGGTTTTAAAATCTAACATCAGAAATGTACTAAAACTTTGTGAGACGAAATTCTCTTTTCTCTCTCAAAGCAATATATTTAATACACTGCATATAGAATTTCTGGAGCCAGGTTTTGTATTCAATGTAAACTCAAACTCTGTGAACAGCTGTAAAACCAGCCTCCGAAAAATGAAACAGATGGGGTGTGATGAAAGCAGCTTATTTAAAAATGTTTGGATGAGAGAGTGGAGGGACAGCCGGGGGCACTTTATCCCTCTATTCTTCACCTGAGGGTGGGACACTGTGGGTTTTAGGATGTGTGGGGGAATGCACAGTGGGGTTGCGTCCTCACAATAGGGACATCTGACCCTCATTGTGAAGGTAACAGCTGGTAGGCGGCCACTCGCGAGCCACCCAGCCGACAGCTTGTGCCAACAAAGGCAGACTGAAAGCATTCAACAGAAGACTTGTCCTCACAACTTTAGTCATCCAAAGGCCACAATCATCTAGTCCTTTTTTTCCAGTCCACTGAAGAAGAAAAGCTGGAAGCCTAAAACCCCCCCCAAAAAAACCCAAAAGGCATGGCATTCCTGAACATATATACCATATGATATGATAATGACACATTCATTTGTGAGTCAACAGTACTAATTCTTAAAATATTTACCAACAAAAACCAACACATAAAAACTTAGTACAAGAATAAGGTAATCATTCAGTTTAAGTCCAAAGAACCTGAATGAAGCTAGGATGCCAAGAACCTATTGTAATTGAATGATTTAAAGGACAAGTTCTGTATTTTACAATTAAAGCCCTGTTTTAAGATCGTCCCTGATGAAATAGAATGGTTAAGATTGTTTTTTAGACAGATGCTCCTGTCACGAGAATTTTTGCATTCTGTGTTAGCACCCCCCACCTTTATAATGAAAGCATAGGTGCACTCGAACAATCATTCATTAAAACGCATAAAACTTTAGTTTACAAAGACGTGAAACTCACCGAGTGGTCTGGGGTGTTCACTGATATGCTCACACAAAAATCGCTGCAAAATATGCTTTCCAACAGGTTTTATCGTAGTTTTTGTCCAAGTCCATTTTCTTCCTGTTTTTGGTCGAAGTCCACAGTAGTCGATTATCGAGTTTGCGTGCGCGATCCTCAGTTATCTAGTTACCAATGATCGCGAACGTGAACTCGACAATTTACTACTGTGGACTTAGACCGAAAACAGGAAGAAAATGAAGTCGGACAAAAACTACGATAAAACCTGTTGGAAAGCATCTTTTGCAGCGATTTTTGTGTGAGCATATCAGTGAACACCCCAGACCACTTGGTGAGTTACACGTCTATGTAAACTAAAGTTTTATGCGTTTTTATGAATGATTGTTCGAGTGCACCTATGCTACAATTGTAAAGGTGGGGGGTGGGGTGCTAACACAGAATCCAAAAATTCTCGTGACAGGAGAATTTGTCTAAAAAACAATCTTAACCATTCTATTTCATCAGGGACGATCTTAAAACAGGGCTTTAATTGTAAAATACCGAACTTGTCCTTTAAAAAAGCCGGCAGGTATATAAAATAAGTGATCGAAATCTTGAAAAAGTGAGCATTATTCTCTGCTCTCAAACGCTGGGGGCGTGTCCACTGGCTAAGCTGAAACCACGCCCACTCGCATGAAAGCTGCCAGCGATGATATTAAGTGATACTACTTCTGGGATGGGATTTTAGGAAATTTGAATAAAGACACCAATCTGTTCTGTACATGATCGCATCCAGGTAGTGGCCTAGGAATTTCCATGACGAAGGCATAGCTAGCTAGCAAACTGAAGGCTGTAGTAACTAATAGTACTACTGACAGTAACTCGCAATTGGGCACCAAACTTATGCGAATGTGCTCTATTGTTAGGAGAGAGGACAGTCTCAATGCGTCATCAAGTAGGGGTGTGTCCAGGAGCTCAGGGGCTCTGGTGCATCATCAAGCACCCGTGAGAGAGACGGGTAAATATTTATCATATTTATAATGCATTTAGATTTTTTTTTTAATTGCCTTTACAGGAACTTTAAATTACCAATATTCTTTTAAATATCTTTCTTATTCATGTTTCACAGAAAAACAATCATAGTCACACAAGTTGTGTGTATATATATATATATATATATATATATATATACAGTATATATATATAATTAGTAACAACACAAATTGTTGAAATGAAACAAATGAAACCAAGTGAAAACTGAAACTCACTACTGTTCTCAGACTTCGAACATCACTGTACCATAGATCACAATCCCTTTACCATAAAGCAGCAAACACCAGTGAGAGAGACTGCTGAAGCTGTGAGACAGAACTGACCCTCCCTAATTTCACAGCTCTCCCACTTTCAGCATCTTTGCGACAAGGTGTTTGTATTTGCCCTCATTTAAATTGAATGTGTCAGTCTACAGTGACCTTTTCATTGCCGTCATCCTTCACGGCACCCACCACTAGTGGCTTCCACCAGAACACCATCAGTCCTTTAGCTCAGAGCACAGCAGACACATAGTGCTCCTGTCTAACATTTTTATTAGCAATTAGTCTGGTTTTGTAGCTCTGAGGTCTGAAGAGAGTTAATGCTAATCTCATTATTTATTCAGAATGGCTTTGTAAGCCACAGCTTGATAGAGGTGGGCTCTCCCTATACAATCCCTGATATGATTGTAAAGTGCTTTGGGTGTACAGTAGATATGAAAGTGCTACAAAAATGCCTCATTCATTCATTCATTCAATCATCCAACCAGAACTGCTAAGAGAAAGCATTGAAATATTTTGGTCTGTGTGGTCTAAACCTTTAAAATCAAATTCATCAGCAGGAAACTTCTGGTATGTTGTTGACATGTGTTGAGTTCTTGTTTTTAGATCATGCAAAATATCAGAACCATAGAACCGCAAACTTTGTGATTTGACTTTTTAAACATGTTTCCAACTTTTGATTATTTATTTTTATTTTTTGTGTAAATATCATGCATAGTTGACAGTGTTGTGCAAGTTACTTCCAAACTTTAATACATTAGGTATTACTTGTTACTGTTATTTAAAAGTAATTCATTACCTTACAATATTACTGTCTCAGAATTGTAATGCGTTACATTACTCATGTATTTCTTTTGAGTTACTTTCACCAAAATAACTAAGTAGAACTTAACTTTTGGGCTGTAACGATATGCAATATGAAACCGAAATCGCGATTCGCCACACAACTCAGATCCACGAACCTACAGAATCGCGACACACCTCTTCCAACTCCCAGCGTTATTCTCCTTACTGTCCATATCCAATGCTGCCTTATCCTTAAATTAGGCTATTAGTATTATTTGAAGTTAACATTATAAAATACGTAGACCTACACCACAAAACTAGTTGAGGATAAATTATTTAAAATCGGGGAAGTCCAGCATTATGGACATGACATTTGCAGTCAAAACTTGAAATAAAAATTCTCAGAAAATACATGTATTGAAACGTATATAGGCTACTTCCTTAAAGGACTCCAGACATTAGACAAATATCAGTCTATGTTTTATTTTTAATATTAGGGAAAAGACACACTTTCATGCGTGACAAATAAATAGGAAGCAAAATCGATTTTTTGTAATTCTGTTAATTACACTGCGCAAATCGGATGAGGAAGGGTTGGCTCTCCATTCTCCATAGAACTTAAAATATTCATTTTATTTTAGTTTTCGTGTTCGCATTTATAAGGAAAAAACAATGTTACAGACGCGACCGCTCTGAACGGGCACTAAAAGACTGCTTTAAACCTTTCACATAGTCTGTTGCCTTTAAGAAGTAAAAGCAGACAACACACTGTAATACAACTGTAATACAAGCCTCACTGAACATGTAACGAGTAAAATATTACTGAAAATTGATTAGTAATGCCTTACACTACTGCGTTACAGCAAAAAGTAATATGTTACTGTAATGTATTACTTTTGTAATGCGTTACTCCCAACACTGATAGTTGAATGATCTCACATTGAGAGAGTTTGTACTTGCATCTGTTTTACTGCAAGTCTAATTAAAAGATTGATTCACCTGAAATTGAAAATTCTGTCATCACTTACTCACCCCTCATGTCATAAACCTGTATAGCTTTCTACCTGCAGTATTGACAATATTGTGAATAACCTGTATAGATGTCCATCTAACACCAAAGGGGGAAAACTAAATAAAAATTTAAATCACACATAAAGATGGGTTCTTCTACTTCTAAGGGCTGTGTATCGCCAATATGTTGCTCGCAATACAATACGTATTGATACAGGGGTTACAACACGATATATTGATACACTGCAATCCTGTAAAAGCAAAGGCAAATTTTAAAGGCAATTTAATCCTAGATTTCATTTTCTTTTGTTTTTTATTGTAGAAAAACTTTCATAAAGAACATGCCCAAAACTGGTTTAATTGTTAAGTAAAAACTTTTAATTTTATTTGATCAGAACAGTCAGTGGGATGATTACACTTGCATTTATCGGTCCCTATAAAATACAATATCGTTGAACTATAAAATACAATAACATTAAACTAATTTAAAAATGGTAAAGTGCTTGCAGGATACCCCTTCAGTTATTAAGTTAAAGTCGGCATTAAACGGAAGTTGCAATTGTGTTTTCTTCTCTATTGTGACGTACAGGCTATAGCCGAGTGAAACGACTTCTCGGACAAGAAAAATTGTAGGGAGAGACGTAATTTTAGTCCATCGAGAATTGACTTGCTCTTTGGATTAGATGATTAGAGAATAGATGTTGTTGCAAGAGGGATGAGAAGTTACTTTGATTAAAGATTAGGAGGAGGGCACATTCATTTTAGAATATGATATGCACTGTGACACAATTTATAATAAGTTCTTCAATATTCCACATAAACTAAGAATGGTCACATGATATAATGGTGACTTCAAGTCACCTGTATTTATATAGCACTTTGTACAATACATGTATTTTCAAAGCACCTTTACAGCGATAACAGGAAATTAATGCAACAAAGTTTGTTTCTCCTGTACAGCAGTTCTAGAAAAAAAAAAAAAAAAAAACAGCATCGTAGTCCAGTTAAAGTAAGTTCAGCGACAATTAATTTTTGTTAATTTATGCATATAGCCACTCTGGAGAAAATTGTAATTCTCATATAATGGTGTCAATGCAGGCTGATCAATAATATTGTTGAATATTAAAACATCACTTAAATATATTGTACACTACCTGGAGACATGTAGCATATCTAATAAGAGTGTGTTTTGTGGGCCAAAATAAGGCTTTCTCGCAGTGATAAACACAGATAACGGTCAGCAACACCTGTGGATTTATGCAGGTGTATCAACAAACCAGGGATTATCGACTTTCCATGGGTGCACTTAAGGCCAAATGCACAAAAACCCTGTAAGCCTCATTAATACACACGTGACAATGTATCAGGAAATTGTATCAACATGGGATAATTATGGTAGAACAAGACAACAAGCACTATCAGGAGAAAAATAAAATAAACTAACAAGTAGCCAACTGTGTCAATACTCTGATTCTAGAAATGAATCGTGGCAGTTCCATGTTTGGACATCAATCATGACAATTTACCACCATGGTATTCGTGGAGAATTCAATATGGTTATCAATCACACAGTGTCATGGAACATAAAAAAGTACCATGATGGCAGATATGGTACCACCTCCACAGTTAGGGTAAAAGTTAATCATCCCAAATTAACTCTGTCAATACTATTTATTGGAAATAATGGTGTGCCTGACGTGAATGCCTCGAAACTCTGTTCTTCCTCAAAAGAATGCATAAACAGGAAGAGGATCAAAATAATACACCTACCCTTCACGTCGCCGGCCAGTGCCTTCCATGTAGGAGAGTATTGGATACAGTGGCCACACCACGACGAGTAGAACTGAAGCAGCCAGGCGCTGGAGGAGTTGAACACGGACTGCTTCAGGCTGTCGCTGCTCAGTATAACCACTGGATCCTCTTCAGTGTACAGTCGAGCTTGCTGACCCTGTCCGAACAGCAGCCCCATCAGAATACTGATCTTAAAGCAAAACGCAACAGCCATTTGAGGCGATGGAGGAAACGCCGTTCAATTTGAAATGAGTTCTCTAACGTTACATTTAGAGTGATTCTGCCATAGGATTCTGCTCGCTCCCCTGGATGACTACATTAACTGGATACATGAGTCTTAAAGAGCTTTGTGACTGCGCTACGAGAACGCAAACGCCTATCTAGCGCATCCTAAGTGCGTATGGTCGACGCATAACATATGGGGCGTTGACTGAATCATGATGGTAGCATAATCTAATCCAGGCAAAAATAAACTATTTAATTTATATTATTAATTATTATTATAAATATATATTAATATTATATTATATTATTATAATATCATAATATATATTATAATATTATAATTATATATTACTATTATTATAATTATTATAATTTATATTATAGTTTAAAAAAAATCACCACAAATGTTGCTAATTTAATACATTTCACCTTGATTGTATAAGGTACACACACACACACACACACACACACACACACACACACACACACACACATATATATATATATATATATATTTGTAATGATTAGAAGAATGATTAAAGAGAGTAAATCCATCAAGAGGTGTAAATCCAGATTCAGAAATAAAGGCGGACATACACTGTCCTATTTTGAGACGAATTCTGACTCATGCGACTCTTTTTCGTGTCGGACCGATTTGTTGTGCGTTGTTTGTCGTGCAGGGAGAAACGATTGACAATCGGATGGTCGGATGAATTTCTATGGGATTAAAATCCTGCCATGATTCAAAACTGAAAATAAAGTTCTGAAAGGTTGAAACTAAATGTTCAAAACTTCAAAATCTTACAGAAAAAAGTTTTGCAAGATCAAAAAAATAAGATTTGCAAGCTTGCAAAATATAAAACAAATAAAATATCTGCAAAATAACTGTTGTTTTTGAGATTTCCTTCTTCAGAACTTCAACATTTTTTTACGATGTTACGCAAACAAATTTTCAGAGTTTTAAATTTGTCAGTGTTTTCCCACTGTATTAGTTTGTTTTTCAGGTTTGAAACCTTGCAAATGGTGATCTGAAAACTGGTGTGCGAATGAGTGAAAAAAAGTTTTGTAACGCTGAAAACAGTAGACTGTAAAAAAAGATGGACGACGCCCCTTCGCTCTTTTCCATCGGAGAGAACTGAAGCCGCCAATGTCCCGATATGGCGCTGACATCTTGGGACTTGAGTCTGCGCACTTGTGTTTTCGGGACCAGACATGCGCAGTCGTGAGCAGGAAGTAAAGCCGCGAAATCAAGGCCACGCCCTCATTCTCGCTGAATCAAACGCAAGCACACGCCCCGCACTTTCAATAAGTGGCCTCTGTCTGCTTCGTTCCTCTCCATTGACGTCTGCTGATTGCAGAACCTTGTTAAAATAAGGTACTAACCACATAATCAGTATTATTTAAAAAAAGTCCGCTGGTGCTTCAGTGACCTCGCACAGAGAACCTGTCAATCACAGCTGTTAAATAATGATGTCAGAGCACCGTTTATAGCATCACATAACTAAAAACAAACTTATTTTAAAAATGAACACCTGAAATTTCATCAACGTGATAGAAACTACAATAAATGACAGAAACTACCTTTGGAAAAAGGATATGTGAAGTGTAATTGAATTGTTTAGTTGGTCCTGCGTTGAATAACATGGAGAGATGGGGTTTATGACCTATACTAGGACTGGTCACAGGGGGCGATCGAGACGTTTTGGCTTCACTTTTGAGGGCTTGTGCGGCACGCTTGATCCAGGGGGTTATCGCAGATATTACACGTATAGTGTGAGCAGTGAAGTCGCAGATCGACGATCAGACCATACAGTGTGAGCACATAAATCCTGAACTTTGGCTTTGCATCGCATGCTTTACTCGTTGAGTGTGAAGTAGGTACCTTGCTGAAATCGCACAGACATCGCACAGTGTAATGGTGCGTTCTATTATTCATCCGTCTCTGAGATCCGAATCGGACGACAGACGTTGCCTAGCAACAGGCCCCCTTTCCTCGGATTTCTCCTCTCGGACGTCAGACAACCGTGAGGACACCGAGGAATTCTGTTTCGGAATTCAAGATGGCTGCGCTCTGAATGACATGTATGAATTGTTTTCATTGTTTTTGAACCGCTTTGGTATTTTAAATTACGATTATAATCACTTGTGTATTACTGTGTCCCCTGTAGGTATGGGAATCAGTTGTTGTGAGTGCAATTACTAACGTTGCTAGCATTGCTAACAGAAGATTAACATGAAAAACATGAAATAAAGTGAACATTTTCAAAAGTTCAAATGGCTGCATTTTGATAAGGTGAAGTCATAATATATATATATATATTTTTTTTAATGCAAGTGCTTGGTACTCGGCAAGTGCTACCATTACAACAGCTTTCCGGGTGGCGTCCATTTTTTCCTCCGACTAGGACAAGCAAAACATAATAGAACGCTTGAAGTGTGGACGTGACGTCATATCTGAGGTCCGAGTCGGTTCGTTGGCAATAATAGAATACCCGCCTTAAAAGTCCTCCTCAGTATTTTGTAAGGAAGAACTTTCCTAAGACTGAATTTAGGAATTCGAAACTGCAGTAAAACAATAAAAACTCACTGTAAAATCTGTAAAAGAGATCAAAGGGACAGAGGGCACCACACAACTGGCCCAACCTGATATCTTCCCCCCATGTTGTGGTTCTTGACTCTGCACAATATCTTCTCTCCTCCAGGGCTCATTCAGGCATGCAAATCTCACAAACCTCCTACTTCCAGATGTGTTATGCAAGGGCAAAATAAATACTTCTGGCGCGAGTGGTGACAATTGTTTCATTCCTGCAGCAGCAGAACAGGCAGAACAAGAAAACAATGCCTGTTCTTCTGTTGTGGGAGATGCCCCAATAAAGATTTGGGTGATAGGTGTTTATTGTTCTTTTGCTTGTGAATCTAAGGTTTTCCCTTTCCATGTTTGGTATCATTTTAAGTGTCTCAGTGCGATTGGTAAAATGGTCTTAATTTCATTACAGTCATTGGAAATAGGAGAAAGATTGAGAACTTAGGAGAATCCAGTTCTCCTCCAAGGGTGATGTCTTTTCAAGATATCTCCCCTCTCCCCCGAGACCAGGTGTTACCCCCTGGGGTATAGGAATGGACCCAAAACAAACTCTGAAAGATATTGGTACAACCCTTTTGTTCTGGTCTGGGTATTTAAGGCTAGGTAACAGAGCAGTCTTCGGGAACCTGTAACCAGGAAAAACCCCATACAGTGCTGTGTCAGTGTTTTCCCGGTGGAAAGCACTCACACACTACTGTGTGTCTCTGTCAGGAATGCATTGCTTACTTTTAGAATCATCTTTGAGTAATTGATGTCATTTATTTACTATTTCTGAATTGGCTGTTAATTGCTTGGGTAATTGGCATGATACATTTTTTCCCGACAAATAAATGTTACATCTTGATTTACTCTGGAGTATTGTGACGTCATTATTTTAGTAAGGCTGGTGCTACCGCAAATCTTGCAGGATAGGTCAAACTAAAGGCGCAGATGTGAATGGAGCAGTAGGCACGTCCTCTGAAGACCTTTTGATTTCTGTCTATCACTGATTTAGCAAGTTGTATGGAAGTGGCTAAAATAAACTACATTCTTTGTACGTGTGAGCAGTAGGCAACCGACTTAAGAAGTATTAGCTAAGGCACCCTCTGACTAAATACAGAACTGACAAGGTTTGTGTCCGTGAGAAACACGATCCGGCCGCCGTGATCTCTGTGCGGCATCGGGTCCATAATGAACGAATAATTGAAAGTGTAAGAAACACAGACAAATCAAAGATCTAAATTAAATCATAATCAATAGTTGGTTGTGTTAAATCAATGGTTATTTTCTAATAAGAAACACAATCTAAACTTGATCATCAGTAAAAATGATAATAATATTGAAACTAAATTCTAATAAATTAAGTGAACTTCACTGGAGCGCTGAAAAGACATACACGCATTATCCCTTCGCCCAGCCATTGGATTCCGTCCTTGGGCCAATGGGTGGTCCTTACAATTTTATTTCAATCACCTGGATTTGCTAATTAGCATTTTTTTAGCCAGGAGAACTAATGAAATCAGCTGGCTGAGTTCATTGGGGGAATGGGCTATATGCACGCATAAGTTCCGCATTTGACGTAAGGAAGCATAAACACAACGAGGGGTGTCTATTTTATCTGTTTTTGTGACTAACGTTTCATTAGTATAACCATGGAGTATAAAATTCAATATAAATTCTCGGTATTGCATTGGACTCTATGGTCGGCTGAAGTTATCGAGCATCCTTAATCCTTCACCGGAAATAACGCCGTGCATAGAGCCCATAGTCCCCTGGACTTTAAGCTACACCTCTGCGTAAATCTCACAAAAAAAAAAAAAATCATGTCACTTCCTGCAACATTCTAATCTGAAACATGAAGCCTACCCGGAAGTGCGAAAAACTGCAAATACATCTAAAATCCGCTAGAGGCCGGTCCCAAAAGGGAGTAAATGTCCATACCCATGTTAAAATGTCCGTTTTCACAGTATAAATTCATGTTTTTACAGTTTGATCCCATGGACTTTTATTGTAATCTTCGATAGGCAATGTTCCGCGTGCCTGACAACTGTGAGGGGGGTGAATTTTTTTCTAACTCGTTAGTTTAGATCGTATTTAGATATAAAATGTATGACAAATAAGGGCTGTTAACTTTGATTGACAGCTGATAACGAGCTGCGCCGAGTGGAATTTGACGTTTCAGCCATGATCAGCCATGAGCCATGACACACCACATCATACCACTTCTGTATCCTTTCTGAACATTTGTATTTTGTATTTCCCAAAATTTTCCAGTATGGCGCCGCCCATACCCCCCATAAACAGCCTCAAACCCGTTCTTCAGAAAGTCTATGGGTGATGTCACAGACGCTTTGTCTATATTTTTTACAGTCTATGGTCACATCTTGTCAGTGCAGACAAGTAAAGAGGAGCAAAGGATCTCAATTACAGTTTATTTCACAAAAACAAAGAGGTTGCCAAGAAAGTGGTTACCTCAACTTTAAGTTCCAAAAATGGAGGTACCTTTCTGGGTGTAAGTAGCCATAGCAACTTGCTCTCTGAACAT